CTCGATTACCATATTTGAAGTGGTCATTTTACGAAAATGTTTTTACTTGAGAAGTATCACATTACACTCTGATAAAACTCAGAAGGGAAATACACATAGAGAATGCATGCTACGATCAGGATCATGAAAGGTTAGAAATTGAATTGAAGATTTATTACCAGGCTTATGCCTAGAGTCAGATTCTGGGGAACAAAGAAAGATAAAAAAGAAGTGGGGTATGACGTGTACCCAATAAAGGAAGGAAGTGAAAGGGAGACGGGAGGACATTTGTCTCGGGACTGTCTGCTTTGGGATCAGAAGAGCCATAGCAGGAGGGAAGCTGATACTGGCGGGGACATCAGGAAAAGTTTCCATTCTGGCTCCACCCTGCATTTTTGGACTCTGCCCCATGTATAGTGAGTTCACATACAGCCCCAGTGGTAGCAACCAGAATTGAATGTAAGAGAGAGCAACTGCCAAAGAAAGAACAAAGGATTCTGGGCTCATCCTGCTACTTCGTGGGCTACATGACAGGCCAAAGGCAGAGGAAGAGTAGCAACCATAAAATGGCTCTGCAGGGTGCAACCAAAGGATACATCCACCTGGGGCCTGCAGCCAAACCCTGAGCATCTTGTCTCCTGATTTTTTAATGCCTTTGTGATGCAAATAAAACGCAAACGGCTGTAGATTTTAAATACACAACTTGATGAGTTTGGAGATAAGCATATACCTGTGAAACCAGATCCACACACTGTGCCAGCAACATATTCATAGCCTCCAAATGCTTTCTCCCACCTGCTTTATTTTCAGAAATAAGAAAGCTTACATAAAGGTTGGGGGCGTAGCTTAGTGGTACAATAGTCACCTAGACATCCTGAAACCCCAGGTTCAATTCCAATCGCCACAAAAAGCAAGGAAGAAAAACAAGAAGAGTGAGAAAGAGGGAGGAAGTAAGTTGGTTTACATAAGATCAACCCTCTTAGCAAAATACCATGTAACCAACACAACATTGTTGACTCTAGGCACCGTAACTACACAGTAGATATAGGACTTAGGGGTTTACATGGCTGAAACTTTGTACCCTTGGACTATGACATCCAGATCCTCCTCCCTGCATGAGCCCAAATGAGATTCCACTAAGTGAAATAACCAGATGGCAAGGAGGACGCCATGAAACCACCTCTATGCTGCACCTAATTCAGGGAAGAGTGAAACTGATGAGTCTCCATCATCACTTGCTCTCTGCTACAGATAGGAGAAGAGCCAGGCTTCTAGCAGTTCTCGCTCAGACAGCTCGTGTGCCCTTGCGCCTCCTCCATGACCTTTCACAGACTCACCCATGCACTACCTTCCACTCCCCATCCCAAACCCAGCAGAGCGTGTGGAAAGTTGATTCTGGTGCACACCCATTTCCAGATCACTGTAGAATGGGTCTTCCATTTGTTTAATGGGATATCCCCTCAATGTTCCAGGAGAACACTTGCCCTTATTTCTCAGCCTAGAATCACTTTCATTGTACTATCCACAGAATGTTTTCATTTTCCTTCTCATTTACCTATTACAAAAGCTGGTATGTGTACTTTAAGTGTATATTTTACATACTACTCCTTAGATTCATCTTTATTTTTTTTATTTTTTTTGGTTTTTCGAGACAGGGTTTCTCTGTGGTTTTGGAGCCTGTCCTGGAACTAGCTCTTGTAGACCAGGCTGGTCTCAAACTCACAGAGATCCGCCTGCCTCTGCCTCCCAAGTGCTGGGATTAAAGGCGTGTGCCACCACCGCCCGGCTCCTTAGATTCATCTTAAATTAGTTTTTTAACAATATCCATTATAATCAAAGAGTACTTTTCACATTTTCCTATTATAGATACCTAACTATCTGAAATGCATACATGTGAAAGTATGCCTTCCATGAACAAATAATTCACACTGATGTGTACTGTCTAGTTAGGGAACTGAAAAGCACCAGAAATCCAGAGCCAAGTTTCACAAACTATTATAGTATAAAAAACTGCTTTCAAGATTTGATGTCTGGGGGCTGATGAGATGGCTCAGTGGGCCCAGTACCCAGCACCCACATTGGGACCTAACAGTGGTCTGTAACTCCAGTTCTAGAAAATATGACACCCTCTTCTGTGAGTACGCACTTCATGCATGTGGTGCACAGACAGATGCACAGGCAAACCACCTATACACTTAAAATATAAATAATATTTTTAAATGCTATAAAGTATGCTTAATACTTTGTAATTATTAAATATTTAAATATTGACTTAAAAGTTTTAAAAGCAGCTGTTTTGTTTTGCAATGCTTTTATGTTCTCCAATAAAGAGATGAAAGATCCGTTTTCAGACTGTGATGGAAAAGCTTGTCTCTATAGTTACACTGGCCAGTCAGTAGGTTCAAAAGCCTGAAAGAATAGAGGGTCATTATAATCATTATTATATTTTTCCTCTGTCTTTTGACATTCTAAAGAACTCTAGACAACTAATTACTGGGTGCATTTGGGTTGAATGAACACAATGGATACAGTGAAGAATAATTAGTTACAGGCTAAAGCATGTATCCTGGCTTTAACCAGGCAAACTCTATGGGCTCATAGAACAAAGCTGGCGTTTATGGACTGCCTTGGGCTCTACTTTGCATTGGATTTGGCCAGTATTGGCTGGAAACAAATGGGGATATGTATGCCCCTAGCTGGTGAGTGGTGTGCTCTTCATGGGCTCTGGTCTCTTTGGGTCCCCTGTCAGTGGGCATCGGAGTGATCGTCATCCCCACCATACCATTTTAAATATTTTCTTTATGTATCAAACCCTCATCAGACTGAATGTCTTAAGTGTGAATGTCTCTTTTCTGACTTCACTCTGCCTCTTTGATAACAACAACTACGAGCAACAATGTAAAACTGTGCACAATGGTTGCACACTTGGTAGACTGGGGTTCAGCTCCTGTTAAAGAATTACGCAATTCTGCATCAGAGGCTCTCTCATGAGATGGCCACTAAAAGCCATACGTACAGAGCCAAATGCACATTCAAGCCTCAAGAGAACACTGCTCCAATTATTTATCTTATTGTTGAATTAAAAAGTAGACATTGAAACCATCAAGAAGTCACTAGCATTCCTTTAAAATCCCCAAAGTTTACAAACCACCAAAACCACAATCAAAGTTATATGCACATAAAGAAGTTTTCCTAAGTGAAGTGTTTATTTTTTAAGTGGCAAAATTACGGAGCACACCCTCCCTCTTCTGCTCTCCTCTGAGTGCTCTCCCTCCTTTCTGTCTCTCTGTCTCCCTGTCTCTATCTCTAGTTCCCTCCCTCTCTCTATCTGCCTATCTATCTATCTATCTATCTATCTATCTATCTATCTATCTATCTGCCTATCTATCTATCTATCTATCTATCTGCCTATCTATCTATCTATCTATCTATCTATCTATCTATCTATCTGCCTATCTATCTATCTATCTATCTATCTATCTATCTATCTAGTCTATTATCTATCTATCCATCACATGCACGCCTGTGTGTCCACTTGTGCATAAAGGAGAGGTTTAGAATCTAAGCAAGTGTAACAGTTGACAACAGTACTAATAGAAGTTACATAAAGACCTGGACTTGACGTGACTTTGCAATCCCTTCCTCTGTAAATGGAAGCAGAGTCATTAACTTGCCTCCAGTCCGAGGGAGAAGCTGGGATCCAGCGAGGGTTATCTATTACCCAACAAGGAAACACATCACTAAAAGCATCCATCTCATAACTGCTTGAGTCTAAGACTTTATAGGCAACAGGGCTATAAATGCAGGATACGAACACAAGAGCATTGTGTTTATGGGAACTTTGTGTGATGAGCCAGGACGTGTCCACTGATACCCGTGGTGTTCGGCAAACTGTAAGCACTTGTGGATGCTGCTGAAGAACCCGGGCCAGGGAAGGAGTCAAGGCCATAACATCACAGGGTACAGAGAGTCCAGTAGCACTTCCACACTAGCTGACTAAGCCGCCATAAAAGGAGACTACAGAGACGGTGCAATATGGCTCCAGGGAATATTCCCCACAAAAGACATTGTGTTTATGGGTTCTAACTTAATGAAATTCTTCCAGTTCTATTATGGCCTTAACTGCCGAGTGGTATGAGGTACAGAGTTCTCCAGGATGGTGTTTTTCCAAAGAAGAGGAAGCATTCACGGGGGTGTCACCACAATCACTTTCTGGATCCAAAACTAGCTCCTCTGCCCTCAGCTCCTCTTTCACATCCTTTCCCTGAGCTCTCAAATTACATCACTCTCTGCAAAAGCAGAAGTCATCTGTTCTAATAGAACCCATGCTGCGTGCTACACTTTCATCCTCCTAGCAGACCAGGGCATCTGGAAAGTCAGTCTTTGTATACTGGGGAAAGCTATGTCTCAAATAAGTCGAGGTCAGCACGATGGAAAATGTACAGCGTTTTACGGAACTGGTCACACTGCCCACTGTCCTTCCCCACCTCACTCTCCCAAGCATCCCTGAATCCGGAGGGGTGAACAGAAACTCCGGAAAAGGAAACATCTTTTACCAGAGACTGGACAGTGTCTCAGGAAAGCATCACGTTTCTACCTTCGACTGTGTGATAGTCTAGACAGTTCCGCACAATGGCATGTAACATGATATATATATGTCCTCACTTGTGTATCAGCTCAACTGCCCTCTTTTCCATTTTATTTTTTTGATATTGCTGATCAAATAAAAAGGATGGGTCAGTAACCCTCATAAAGGACTTTAACAAAACAAGAAAACTTCCTTTTTCAACAGGTCCTTGCACCAATGTAGCCATCTCTCTGGAAGAAAAGAATCATTTGCTTTTATTTAGATTGTCACTGATTGTAGAGATGTCTAGACAAACCAAAAAAAAAGAAAGAAGGCCTACCAGGAATAAAAACGATACAGGGAACATCACATTTAGAGATGGGACCCATCTACCTCGGGAGCTTCCAAGGCCTGAGGGACCTGCTGCAGTGACCGTGGGTGGCTGGGCCCTTACCTTACCACACTGCTTACATTTTCCATCCTGCCGCCGCCTGTGGACCCAGTGATGACGTACAAAGTTCTGCAAGAAAATGAGGAGAAATGAATAAGTTTTAATCTGCAGCCCTTGGTGTTCACTGTTTGATGTTCTGGACTGGAGACTTCTAAAAGCTGCAATCCAAACCCATAGAAGCACAAAAGCAAACACATGTAGGCTGGACTCATGCAACAATAAACGTGAGCACACTCAGTATAAAGGAAGCTCCTTCTCCACTTGTGATAATCTTCCGCATTGTGCGTTCCACCGACCCCCTCCTCCAGCCTTGTCTTTCCAGGGCCAAGGGCACAGCAGATGGCACTCACTGCACTTTCCTATGAGTAAAGCCCATGAAGATTTGTGAATGGGTGAAGGATCTTCAGCTGGGAGGTGGCTGTGGCTCATAAAAGAAAAACCCAAAGAGTGGTGAGAATCTGAAGGGGAAGATGCTGATGGGATAATCTCCAATTCAACTGAACGATGCACACACAGTACTTCAAAGGGCGGGATGTGCCACACTATACTAAACCTTCTAGCTACAAGGAACTGAAAGGATCGTATCCTCAGGAACATTTCCTGATATGGGACATTGACTTGAGAAACTTGATAAAGTGAAAGAAGAGAAACGTCAAAGAAAAGAAAAGCTGAAGACAAGAAGGTTGGCATATGGATGACAATTGTTCATGTACCATTCTAAGTCACCTTGAACTAGACCGGCATTCAAGGTTGATTCTTGTCTTAGGCTGTAGGAAAGTCTTCCTTCCCAAGTGATGGTCATCACTGGGGTAGACTCAAGCAACTCAGTCTCCTCTGGCTGTTAGAATGCACCGCAGGAGGGTGTGTCATCTACAGACTAAAGATGGAGAGAAGCCTTAGCATCCCTCATTCCTCTTACACCAACAATATAAAGTGCTTCCTTCCCTCTGACTCCTGTCCTTTCCTGGATAAACACACTTTGCCTCATGCTAGCGCACCTCTTATAGAATTCAGCCACAAACCATATTCTCCCTTTAACAGTACCTTTAATGTATGTTGCCAGCAGATTACCTATTATATAGCATAGACACTGTTCTACATGGAGACAAAGAAAGCAGATCTGTCTAGAGCCACACCACCTTGAACATGCCTAGTAGAGTAAGCTAAGCAGAGACAGGACTGGTTAATACTTGGATGGGAGAAAATAGACCACTGTGAAAGGAAAGGAGGGAGAGATAGAGGGGGAGGGGGAGGGAGGGATGAGGGAGAGAGGAAGGAGAGAGGGAGGGAGGGAGTGATGGAGGGAGAAAGTAGAAAAAAGAAGAGGAGGAGGAGGAGGAGGAGGAGGAGGAGGAGGAGGGAAGGAAGGAAGAGGAACAGAGGAGAAATGGGAGGAGGAAGGCTGGTTGCTTGTGTCAAGACCTGAGATTCTAGGCAAGACCTCCAACAAGCATCTGTACTTTTCATACTAAGATGTCACTTCAATTTCTCCTAATAATGTCAAATCAATTTAAAATAAAGCAAAATATGGTCCCTGGAGGAACAATGGTGTTTTGATGATAGTAAATGATCCCAGGAATCAGTGTGATTTTCATCTTGCTCTTCCTACTGCTGCCATTCAGTAAAACAAAAACTCAATTTTCCATTGTTCTCAGAAAGAAGTTAATAAGAATAGCTAATCCTTACTAAGTACTCCTTTACACTTTTAACAATATTTTATATAGAGTAATTGTTTTAATCTTCATGAGAATGATAATGGGTAGAGATACTTCTTAGTAGGAAGGCACCAGAAAAGTTCCAGAGCTGTTAAATACTGAAATGTCTTAATTTGGGTCAATAATTGTAGTTTAGTGTCCTCACATCCCCTGCCTCCTCTTCTGCTGTTACAGCGATTGCTGCCACCCGTCCTTCAGTCCTGGAAACATATCTACCTCCTCATTAGCAAGCAATTAGAATGGGATTGCCTAAGTTATCTAGTATCAAGATCTTCTTCCAATGAGAGATCCTCAGGTTACTGGAACGATCCTAACGATTCTCCCTGAAGAAGTTTGGAGGACTGGGCTGGCACAGATGCCTGCGTAAGCTTCAGCACCCACATGGACAATGGCTGTCTGTGGTTTTCAAGACAGTAACTGCAAGAACGTGCAAAGTTGCTGATGTTTAGGGATAAGTTCAGTTCAGTGAAAAACCTACTGACTGGGAACAAAAGTCCTGGAGCACCTAGCTGCTTATTTGGCAGGTGACATTGATGCTAAGCCCTGGGCCTCTTTTAGAGATCAGTACCTCTTTATGAATAAGGACTGGGAAGTACAGGAGTCTCTGCTAACTTCAGTATGCCCCATCTCACAATACTGTAGAGTGCTCCCCGCTGAAGATCTGTTTTTACTTACATACAGAGAGGTCACTTAAAATGTAAGCATAAAACCAAAATTACTACTCCCACTGGCTGAGAGCAGGCTCTCCTCCCCCTGGGTTTCTGCCTCTGTTCTCTGAAAGATTAGATCCACTACTTCCTCATGACACTCTAATAAACAATTGCAATGACAGTCAGAAGTCAAAATGTTGAATATCTAAAAATGTCAAATAATAATTAAAAAGCATAGAAACAATTAATATAATAGCTGTTATCTTTGCAAGAACTGAAGGAAAACGAACATCATCACTAATGTTCAGAGAAATTCTCTACTTGGTGAGATTACAAACCACTCTGTGACTATCAATTTAAGGAGAGAAATGTTGGGAGGATTAGGTGCAATTATCTATGAGAAATCACAACTGACTCATGGGATCAGTTAGCTAATGACGGCTCCATTCAAAGGATTAAGCCAATAATTCCCACAAATCAGCAGTGACTTAGAAATGAGGTGGCTGACTGGATCATTTGTACCACAACACAGACCATTTGGCAAGCAGACTTATTGTCCATTTATGATATAAAACATTGTAACTCTATGGGAAATATTTATGTGACCTTATATGACTCTACCAATAGACATCACTAAGATTACCCTTCCAATGAGTAGATGGGAACCGAAGAACTGAGAGCACAGATAAAGTAACTGATTAAACTGACTAAAACTGTTGTTGCAGGGGAAGCTGACCAAGTTCCTGAAATCTCTAGTTGTATGATTTGAGATGCCACACGTCCTTCTGCGGAGAGTTCTTCTTAGGCCTAATATAAACTTATTCTGCAACTAAGTAAATAGTCAATAAATGTTTACTGAACTGAATAGAATCCCCAGCCTTATTTATCTGACAATTAAACCATGTGGTTACCACTGGGGAGAAGGAGGACCATCAACTGGCTTCCTCCATAAGGAAAAGAAAATCCATTACCATCAAATCACTATTGCTTCTAACCTTTTTTGCCCAAGGACTTTCAATTTTCATGCCATTTTCTTCTGACTGTCATTCATATCTCCTAAATTATTAGACTGAAATCAGATTCTTCACACTCTTTTCTTTGAGAGATTATTCAGAGCTCCTGAATTGTTCGGCTGAAATTAAATGTTTCACATTGTGTTCTTTTGACCATAATTCACATATCTCACATTGGTAAGCTGATATTAGATTTGAGATCCTTACACTGTTTATCTGATTGTTGATATATTGTTGTTAAGAAGGCCAACAAAGGCTTCTAAAACATTATCTTTATATTGTCCATCATAGTTTCTGAATTATTTATATACCGCTTCAAGTACTGGGCAAGAAAAAAAAAACTATTACTTATGGGTGTTAAAATATCAATGATACATTATTTCAAGGCTTATATTCAGTATTGGGAGCAAAAATATATAATTGTTCAGTTACTTTTAAACACCCAATTCAATTAAAAATATTATTCACTGAATACTTGAAAAAAAATTAGAAATCATAATTCAGTCCAGCGATCATGAGTAAGAAAACCAACCTCACAAAGGCACAAGATAGGAGTCCAACAAATACTCATTAAGAAACTGCCTTACAAAGATAGGACTCGCTGATCAGCAGTCTTGAGTCTCCAGACTCTTACCAATTAGTAAGAAAACAGTGGATGTGGATTTGAGGCCAGGTCAAACAAATTCTAACAGGAATATTCTTTCATTTCATTAAATGATTGACTTCCAGTCCCTTAATTAAGTAACTTGAGGGAGTCATGGTCACAAGCTTCATCTCCAGAAGCCCTTCATAAACCGCTGACTTAGAAATGAGGTTCTGATTAATTCTGCAAGAAACGGACCTTCTTACAAATGCATCCAGGCAGCAGATACGCATTGATCATTTGGTCCATCTATGTCCTGGCACAGTTATTTGGGGAAAAACTCCATGCATAATCCCTAAGGCTACACTAATGGAGAGAGACACTATCAGGAAAGCCAATGGCAATGTTCATAAATAATTATGACATACAGTATGACCTGAATGAACAGGACAACATATTTAGCAAAAATAAGTAAGCTTACTCTTCACAGGGGTCAACAGTGAAGAGCTCTACAATGGGCTGATGGGTTACCCCAAAATATTCATATGCTGTTATTCTAAACCCAGATATCACTGCCAGGAAAGGAGACCTTCGCCACGAACTTGGGTCAGGAGGATGGAGCCCTCATCAATAGGATTAGTGCCTTGTAAGAGGGACCCCAGGGAACCTTTGCTTTCTTTCTTCTATGCAAGGACACAGAAAGGCAATAGTCTGAAACCTTCAAGAGTGTTCTCACCAGCACCACACCATGCTAACACTCTGATCTTAGACTCTCCAAAAATGTTAAAACGAACAAAAAACAAAAAACAGTCTCTTTACTGATACTGAAACACTCAGTGGTATTTGATTATAGCAGCCAGGACTGACTAGGATACCCTCTGAGGATATGATGTTTGAACTGAAAAGCTAAAAAATCTGGAATATTGCTATGGAAAAACATAAATATCCGAGAGAGAGGAATACCTTGTCCCATGCCTCTGGAACTTAGAGACTGTCTCTTTGGCAGCTGGAAAGACACACAAGCAAGGTCAGATCACACGGGTCTTTCAGAAGAAAAAAAAAATCAGTGGGAAATGTCCTGGCCTGATTACTAGTTTTGTTGTTGTTGTTTAAAAAAAAAAAAAAAAAAAAAAAAAACATGCTCCTTAAATCATGGGCAAGTAGGAGGAACTAACCGGAAAATCATGGAGAAGTTACCACAGTGGTCAGAGTGAGAAATATTCATTCCTTAGTCAAAGTAGCTGACAGCAGACACGCAGGTAAATGGACGGATTTGAAATACGTTTATAAATAAAACTGACTGAGCTGCGAACTGACAAATGAATTTGAGGTTGAAAGTAGCGGAGAATCAATATGACACTCCCCCAGTGTCTGCAAATGGACAGGTCATTTTATAAGGTGAAAATAGATTGCAGAAGAAAGTTTTATGGTCATGATAGTAGTTTGGGTTTTTGATCTATTGTATTTCAGACGAGCATGATATAGCAAATGGACATGCCAAATAGAATCTCAAGAATGGAAACTGGGAATAAGCGTAAAGGCAGGAGCTCTCAGCTCTCCTGGTGACAGCGGGCAGAGGCTGGAGAATACAGATAAGTGCTAAACCCAGGGGGCCCTGCAGAGATGCAGAGGCCGAGCAAGGAGCACTGAAAGCAGTCAGGGATGGCCAAGGAAGCAGGGAGTCCAAAGGAGATGAAAGAGCACCGCTGGGAGTCAAGAAGAATGGATCGCGTGGATGTTTTGAGTATTTCTGAAAGATTGGATAAGGACAGAAAAATACCTACCAAATTTTGTATGATGATTAGCAACAGTGACAGACACCGCCTCAGAAAGCGGACTGAGTAAACTAGACAACAACAGGTTAACATGCCAGAAGATGACATACTAACAATAATCCAGACGGGTAACAGTTCCTAAAGCTTGGCCTTGAGCACAGAACTGAACATCAGAGCAGCAGCTATAGCACAGTTGGGAGGTAAGGAATGCTAGCGTTTTCCTTTGTGAATTTCAGCTGGAAGCTATTCCAGCACGCTTTTGCTGCTGGGAATATTCTAGGTGTGGCAGGTGGAGGGTGAAAGGCAAGGAAAGAAGAGAGATCCAGTCCTTGGCAAGGCTTTCAGAGAAGGCCGAGTTTGGGAGAAAAGAAATATTACAGCCAATGAAAACAATTTTTGAGACTTGCAAAGGAGACATTTTACATAGGATCATAACTGAGAGAGAGGCCAAGGGAAAGACAGAAAGAGAAGGGCGGAGCCGGGCGGTGGTGGCGCACGCCTTTAATCCCAGCACTCAGGAGGCAGAGGCAGGTGGATCTCTGTGAGTTCGAGACCAGCCTGGTCTACAGAGCTAGTTCCAGGACAGGCTCCAAAGCCACAGAGAAACCCTGTCTCAAAAAAAAAAAAGAAAGAAAGAAAGAAAGAAAGAAAGAAAGAGAAGGGCAGGAACCAGCGGCCGGCATATACACTCTTAGGTCAGAAATTCAGTCCCTCCAGCTTAGGAACACAAAGACGCCCCTGTGACTTTCAGAAGAAAAGCATCTTCCTTTGAGCAGTCCCTGGGGGAGCTCCCAGCAGCACTGCAGCTTTGGACAGCACCGACGGCACGCCACCCCCCTTTCCACACTCCCCTCACATCTTGCGGCCAAACAGTGGAAGAAACCAACCCATGAGAAGGTTAAAGCTTCCTTTCCCATCCCTACCACCTCCTGTCACCCTGCTGTCTCTCAGTCTTCTTGTTTTCATCATAATAAACATTATTCTTCTTTTACCATTTTCCTTTTTTTTTTTTTTGAGACATCATCTCACCCATTGTCCAATCTAGCCTCAAACTCCCAGATGCAAGGAATCCTCCTGCCTCTGCCTGTGGGATATCTGACACCACAAGTGTTCCCCACCTCGCCTGGCCTATACAATGTCTTTCTTTCTTCACTGCATTTCAAATGGCTGATATCTTCTGTGTGTTCACTCATGTTCCGCCCTACTCTACAAATTTTTCTAGTTTCATAGTACAAAGAGTCTGTCTGCGTTGGCCATTCACTGATAGCTTACCATTCTTTTTACAAATGCACCCACACAGATATGCACTGGGCAAATCCATCTGGGGGCAAAGGGGACGCCATAATCCTGATGCTTCTACAAGTAAACCCATCAGTTCTCCGGTGCATCCTTGGGCCAGCCTCGTCCTCCAGTCATCTTCTTCCAACAGGAGCTTGGCTTATTCTAAGGACCACTGCTTTCCCACCCAAAATGCATCCTTTACTAAATTCTACCAATTTGTCTTCTTTAGATTCATCTCACCACACCATGTTTCTCTTAGTTCAGATGCAATCATTTCTTAACCAGTCTACGGCAGGAGCTACTCAGACTGTCTTTATGTCCCCAGTAGTATGACCCCTTAACTATGTGATGTTTCCTTCACACTGCAGAGTAACATCTACTTCCACATCCCTGGTGACTGTTAGCCTGGCTTCCAGGGACCGTCCCTGTCTATCTCTCACTCATCTCCCACATCACACACCTTCCTAACATCTCTCATCTCTGCTTGCGTGCTGCTGTGCTTTCTGTCTAGAAGTCTGTCACTCTGTGTCTATCGCGTCCCACCCCTTGCCCTAGATAGCTCCTGAGAGAATCAGCCAGTGCCCATGTCTTCCAGGAAGTCCTTCATCTGACCGATTGGCCCTCCCTCTCTCGTGGTTACACAGGGCTGATTTGAGGAGAACAATGGCTGGGAAGGTTCCCAAGGGGTGAATCTCCAAGTGGAACTGAAACTTGTCTCACTGGGAATGCAAATAGACCAGAGGAAGCACACTTACCAAGAATTCTTATTCTTAAAGAGAAAATAGAAGCCAACAGTGTTTGGGAGAGAGTGGACAGCACTGGGACACACCGCACTGCCTGCTCAGGAGGGAGAGTTCTGTAACCTGAAAGTTTTTGCTCTGTGGATTAGAGAGTACAATTTGGAGTTTGGATCTAGAGTGTCTAGAATAGTATGGACAAAAGCGCTGCCTCTTGCGCATGCACACACACACACACACACACACACACACACACATTCCTCCCACTTTCTCTGAACTGCAGTAGCTGTCTCCTCCACACAAAGGCAGAAGAAGCAGTCCTATGTCCAGGCTCTCTCCTCCCCTCACAATCCCATCATCAAACAAACTGCTCTCGGTTCCAGTCTGTCTTCACGACCTGACCACAAGGAGATGTCCTGAGTACCAAACCTAACTTCCTCGGGTGATGGATGTGTGTGTTGCTTTCACAGGTAAAGGGAGTGGTAGACACAGAATAGGTAAGCTGCCCTGAGTCACACAGCATTCAGGCTGGCTCTAAAAGCAGCCCAACTGTAGCATGAACGTGGGTAACCTGTAACTGTGCTGTCTCTTACCCCCAGAATAGCTTAGACCCATCCCAAAGGGAAATCGGCCAGAAGAAAAGGACAGGATTTTGTTTTCTCTATCCTTTGAGTTCCTCCATTCTCCCATCCCCACTTTTCTGTTTCAGTCATTAAAACCGTGGCTCCTAAACACACTCCACTGGCAGGATGAAGCGCAGTGTGCTGAAGGGACTCGGCAAGTCGTTGCGCTTATTGGCATATCAGGAAGAAACTACTGTATAGCGGAAGAAGGAAGAACTAATTTGTCAGCCCTGGGTGAATACCTGGGGTTCTTTATACCCACGAGAACTCAAGGTGGTTTTTTAAACAACTCATAAAACTCACTTCTCTTGGTGATCTGGAGCCTCCTTCCCGAAATGTTGGCTTACATCTGAAATTAATCTGCCATTTAAAAAAAAAAAAAGCACATCATGTTAGTGATTGACATCAGGTTAAAGAGAATTACCTGAAATCCAAAACAACCAATAGCAGTAGACATTGAGACTACAAAACAAAGCCCGCAAAGGATAAGCAATCTGTTTTAGTTTATTTTCCTTAAAGCATCTCACTAGATAACACGCATTGGTGCGGAGTGATTTCACATCTCCAGCCAGTGGTCCTGAGTTCTCACTGATGAAGTCTAACTTTAAACTAAAATGCCCTTAGCCTGTAAACTTGAGAAAGAGCCAGAGAAAAAGACAGAGAAAAAGCATGTGACAGCTGAACCCATCCGTTTGAGTTAGATTTTTAAAAGGAGAAACTATAAACCCCAGCGGTCCTAATTGTTGTGATAACCACTCAAAGGCATGCACAGTCAATCCCTGCAGAGGACTCAGCATGGCCTTGTTTTGCGGATGGGAGATGCCCTCGTGGCCACTTTCGCTTCTGTATAAAGGGTGGAGACAAGAAGAGGTAGATTCAAAGTGCTGGGCAGGGCTCTAAGATATAAGCTGACGGCAGCTGGTGGGGCTGTCGAAGCTAAGCAGACACTGTGCAAAGCTAAAAGATCCCCACTGCGTTTACGAGCAGCAGCATGAGAATATAGACACTACCAAGGGTCTCCCTGGACACAGAGTAAGAACTCTCAGTGAAAGCAGCAGGCAACACTCTGCTACAGATCTTCCCTCCCCACCCCGGCCCCAGCTGATAAATAAATAGACTATTCAGAATCCACTTCTGGAGACAAGACACCACCCTTGGGATGCCACTTCCCGCTCAAACACGCATTTATGCCGCACCAGCAGAAAACACTGCCCAGGAGGTCTGCGGCCGAGTCTGAGGGCTGCGTTCAGCCGGCTTGGCTCTCTCCCTTAGAGCTGCTTTAGGAAGACGTGAACTCACAAAGAGAAACATATGGTAGCTACAATATTAAAAAGCTTCTTGCGTTTTTTCCCCCTTAAAGGAAACATCTTGTGGGAAAAGAGAAAGAGAATTGGTGTGTGCTAGGCTTTCTCAAAAGCCAACACAACATAATACAAATTAAACTCAGGAAGACAACAGAATTAATGGTCTTCATATAGTGCCTTTTCATTGTTACTTTGGTAGTCATACTGAACTCACAATTTTTGTTTTTGTTTTCTAAAGCCATTGTTTTTAAAGTTAGAAATTGACACCAAATCTCGACAAGTCGTGGCAGTGAATACATCCGCCAGCAGGTGGCGCTCTCTTACCTTCTCTAGTTGCTCAATGCAGGCTGTGTGGACCACGATTTTGCAGACCGCACACTTCCTCCGGAGAGCGGATTTCTGCAACAGTCAATTCAAAATACAGGAAAGATACGTTAGCGAGTGATTCTGGAGACTTCCCTGATATGAAAGAGAGGCTCCGGAAATCAAGCAACACTGAAATTACTTCTGTCCCTTAGCAAATTGAAAATCTCTAAACATGTCAGAGTGACCCAGATGACTTCTTCCAAATATGACAAGAATAATACCATTGCAAATAAGGCTTGTAATATAAGCCAAGCCCTTTGCTCTGTTACATCAGTTTTCAATGTTGCAGCTGAACAACGGAAACATTGCCCTCAAGATTTTCTAACTTTTCTACACTTTTTATTAAAAAAATTTCCTTTGCACCGTTGAGGGACAGAGGCAACCTTCTTACTTATGTCTTATAGGAATCAAGCATTCCATCCTTACTATCATCAGAGGCTAAATTTCAAAGACTGGCTGCTTTAAGTTTCTGTTCTAGACACAATTCTTCGCTGTGCTATTTGGGTCTCTACCCATGTCTTCAGGAGGGCGATTACAAGTCTGGCTTCACACCCAGGAAACAACAACAACAATAACAACAACAATAAAGAGCAACAAAGACAGCAGGGGGCGCTAGTAAGACTATAGGTCTTGCTCTGTTCTCATGGGCACTTCACAGATGATAACTCACTTAACTCTTGCAGCCCTATGAAGTAGAGACCAGCCCCACCCCTGCTTCACAGATGAGAAAACCCACACACAGTGAGTGACCTGTCCAAGGCCTGCCAATGAGGCCACAGCACACCCAATCTGTCTGGCTCCTAAGTATCATAAAATGTAGCCTTGACAACCTTGGAAATGTATACATTCACAGCGTGAAGCTTGTCAGGGTCTAGCTTGTCTCCAACAATTTAAAACCCCAATGTGGTGCAAGGAGAGAGATGACTGAGAGGGCTCTCGATGTCATTCCTTCCAGCGTCACCTGGAGGCGCTGCTAGGGATACACATGGCCCAATGGAAGAGCTGCCTTCATGATTCTGTTGAGTGGTAGTAACCAAGGCGACAGGAAATGCACTATGTTACATGTAAAGATCTTAGACACCCTAAAGACTGTATATATTTACTTTACCCAACAGGTCATCTTAAACCAGTGTTCCCTTCCCCAAGATGATGAACTGGAATCAAGTCATTAACACAGCACTTGACGGGTTAGTTGTTATTCTTCGTGTTAAGACATGGTTGTTTTGGAACTCAGTACAAAGATAGATAAATAGATGATAGATAGATAGATAGATAGTAGATAATTTTAAAACTAAACATTACCTGAGACCACAAATACATTCTGAGCACAGAAACTCACAATAACAGGAGACTCCAAAGAACCCAGGTGGGTAAGGCTGGGCATCCCTGTACATCTGGAAAGTATCACTGTAGATTGATGGTAAGCTGTGTCTGCTGAACGGTTTGCTGAGAGGAAGGACAGTGAAGCCAAGTGGAGCAGGCAGGTCAGAAACACACCCAACACTGCTACTGTGGAGAAAGGGCCCTGTAGGGATGGACTGCAGGCAGCCCTGGGGATGCTGGGAGAGGCTGATGGAAAGAAATGATGGGATCATAGTTCTCCTATGGTCCCATCATTCAACAACACTGGACACGAGCCTCTGTAGACAGCAGTGACAACTGTGTCACCAGCTACCACTAAAATGCACAAAATAGTACAGCAATGACACTTGAAGCTGTGTTTGTGGACGCTAAGCGTGTGACCCCCTCTTGGCTTTGATCTTCCTAATATGAGGTAGAACAATAAGTATGTTTGGCAATTAATTGATGGTTCAAATATCAAAGAATAAGGGAAACCAAGACACCTAAGGATGTTGTTGAAAGTGTCTTGTTCTACAACCAAAAACAGAAGGAAGAATAGGGAGGAAGGGGATGAAGAGGAGGAGAAATACACACAGCCACTGAGAGGAAGGATACAAAACAGTAGTAGCAGCAATCATAGCCGTAGCAATGGTAGGTAGTCACAAAAACAGCAGCACCAGTAACCAAATTTGACAGCAAATTTTTATAACTAGATTGCTCATAAGCAAATGGCCGCTGCTCCCTCCTCCCTATGGCTATCCCGGTCAGATCTCTGCAAGAGCAGCACCTGCAGGAAGTGCATGTGATATTTCAGTCAGATTGCTAATGAGAGTTACCAGGAAGCTAAGGAAACTGGAGTTGATCCTTGTCCATGTGCCCCTCGCCCCCCAGCCCACCATCCTTAACAGATTACACGTGCCAGGCATCACTACTCAAGATGGGCTAACATTTATGGAGTCATGATCTCACAGAGCCTGGAAGGCATCTTCTCTCTCAGTGACTCCTACCTCCTTCTGTGCCCTGCTGTCCTCTTGGTGGTGACGTGACTTTCTTATCTGTTTGAAGATAGACTACATCCTCTTATCTCTACCTACTACATGTTCTGTTCTTGTCTTCTCTCTTCCGTGCTCTTCCGACTGTGCCTGTCGATCACCTGGTCATTAGTCTACCTCTCAGGAAAAGAGATTCATCTGCACACATGATAAGGAGATGGGAGGAATAATTACCCCTTTAACGAGATAATGTGCTTCTAGGAAACCTCTCCTCTATACAGCTACTTGCCACATGATGCACTGCTAAGCTCATGCACTTTCCTGAGTTCCAAAAAAAAAAAAAGTTTCTTTATTTTCTGTCTTTTACAGATCCTGTCCAGAAATACATACATGCTTTCTCTAATACTCTGGGTTTTCTTTCTCTAAATCCCACACTACTTCCACCATTCGGCTGACCTCCTCTGCAAAGCAGGCTGGTTTTCTTCCACCTAAAAGGCATGATTTCCTCTCTTGCTATTCTCCATCTCCCTCCTCCTGGCGGTTGCCACGGTTTAGAGTTGGCTTGTCCTACTGTTTTCCCATAAATTCTAATAAAACTGTCCTTCAGCTTTTTTTTCAATTCCATTTCTACTTTTTATTTTATTTTAATGAGGCTAATTCAATGCTCATACAAAGAAAGCCTGACTTTTCCCCAGCAGTATGTGGAGGTTAGGAAGGAAGAGAACTGAATGGACTCAGGAAATCGTGTGTGCTCACTGAAACCAGAGCCCACACTTCCTCCTCTCCTTACTTTTCATGTCACAATGCTGCTTCAAAATCATTTCTAGGACAAGGAATCTGGTTTATGCTGGGAGGCCCTGCTGGTCAGAGGTTGCAATCTACCTTAACCTGGCATCTCTCTTCAGGCTAGGCAGCACAGAGGACTCCTTCCCAGTGGAAGGCTTCCTGCTTTCTATCTGACCTTATTTGGAGAATATCTCTAGGCCTGGATACCTAGCTTATCTCTAGTGTGATCCTTGACACAGTTCCCTGTAGAAGCTTTTCCCAGTGCTGACCATAGGATAATTAGACATTGTGCTAGAAGCTTTATGACAAACCAGGCTTCCACATAAGGTAGCTAGGGCTAGTACTAGGAGCTTTACGATAGGAACATGCAAATCAGGTGATGCCCCAGCTACTGGACCCATCCTTTGTATCTTGCCGCACTCTTGAATAATTTGAGCTGTCTCCCCGAGGCCATTTCCACCCTTTTCACAGGCCACACAGAGCTCTCTGTCGCCACTTCTGCCCCTTTGTCCTGGCAGACTGGTGGTCAGCAGACCGTGAGGTAAAAGGAAACCTCACAGCTGATAAGAGTATATGAGCCACAGGGCTAATACATATCCTCTCCCAGCTTTCTGGGTTATGCAAATGCACTAATATCATTCATCTCTATTAATTCAAGCATGAAAGTCTACGGATGACAACACACAACTTAAAGTGCTGTAAGTCCTAAAGCTAATCTTATTTAAATCATACAGAGTTTTTAAAGACCTTCTTCAAATGTATTGCACGCCTCTAGGTCTTTTGATACAGAATACCCAAGCCACAATCTGAACGCCCATTCATGACCGCTACCTCATGCGTCATACGCCCAAGATGAATCTGCCCGTTTGCCTTTCTCTCTGACCAGAGCTCCTTAAACCATGGCTCCTGGCGCAGCCGGCTTCCTGACAGCTCCCGAACAGCTTGTAGTCTGTAAAATCAGGTAGTTGATGTTTCCAGCCCTGGTGGTTGCTCTTCATTATCATCTTGATGGGATTTAGGATGAGCCCGGGAGATGCACCATTGGGGCGTGTCTGTGAGGATGTCTACAGAAAGATCAACCGATGTGGGATCAACAATGCGCAGCACCTTCCTCGGACAGCATGGGGCATGGGCAGAGTTGCTCACCTGCCTGCCTGTACCTTTTCCTTCCAGAATGCACGTTACCTGAGTTGCTGCCACCATCCTCTTTTGACTTCAGATTCCAGCTTCTTTGACCTGCTTATGTAGACAGCACAGTGATTCTCCAGGAATTTCTAGGTCTCTACATTGGGAACTGTGCAGCCGTCGGGTAGAACATCCATCCAGGCAACCAGGGTCATACTACCTACCCCATGATGTGAGCCGATCTAATAAGTCTCCTTCCTTAATATACATACGAGACAAGACAAGAATATCCAGTGTATTCCACATGCAAGCACACACATGCACACACAATCTATGGTGCTGTTCCTCTAGAGAACCCTGCCTGATACAATAATCATATACAAAGCGAAGTCAGTAAGTTCTCACTGACAGCCAAGGTCTCTTTCCACAGCGGTAAGAACATGGTGTTATTTCCTCCACTGGCAGAAGCTGTTTTAGTGAACCCAATATGTTCACTGGTAACTTCTTGGTGTATATGTTAGACTTTTCCAGACCCAATATCTGAGAGAAATAGCTTAAAGCAAAAAAAATTTATGTTACTCCATGGCTTCAGAGATTCCATCCCATGGTTCCATTTCAGGGGCTTTTGTGGAGGCAATACATCATGGCGGGAGGCTTGGTGGGACACCGCTGCTTCCTTAACAGCAAGCAGAAAGCGGAGAGTGGAGGAGACAGGATGTACCCTTTAAAGGCACCACCCCTAAAATCTACTCCCTCCAGCTCAGCTCCTTTTGATTGCTGGCAGTGCGC